CTAGTAACCTTATATACACGATATAGGGGCTCCGCTACGACTTTAGCGGCCCCAATAAGACTATTATCGGATCGGACTATTACTTATAGACGGCCTAAATCTATATAGAGATAAATACCACGCTAAGTACTATAATAATACTACCACAGGACCTAGGCGGGCCCTATTAGGTCTAGAAGGACTTCGACCCCTTATAGGTCCCTTAGGTTATAGCTATATAATTATAGTAGACCGGCCCCTTTATAATACTAGGAAATATCGACTTAGTATTAGATAACCTAATCGGGGACCTTATTATTATAGCCGATAAGACTATATAGCGCCGCTACGGGGGCAACGTTAGACTCCTACCTACCCCTTAGTAGAACACGGAGCTAACCGCCCTTACCTAGGAAATAAGGCGCCTTTACCGTAGATATATATATAGGAAGTCACGGAACCGATAGGATAAGTTCTAGGAAGCGGAGAGGCGCTATAATAAGGGTATAGCGGTAGCGAAGCGGCTATACTAGCGGTACCTACTATATAAGACTAGGAAAAATAATACCCTCCTATTGTCATTATAGAAATAGGTATAAATAAAAGGGAATACACTACCGGACCCCTTATCGGTACCGTTACTACGCCGAGATAATAATAATAGCCTAGCTATTATATACGCGGAGAAAGCCGACGTCCTTAACCGGAAGTTCCTTTTACCCCACCTCCTTACTACCCTTAGGCCCTTAGGCGCCGAATTCCCCCCTAAATAGGATATCCGCTATAATATCACCGTAACGGATATATAGGGGCGCTTTAAGAAGACTAAACCCTAGGCGGTACTAGGACCTGATAGGCTCCTAGTAAGGCTCCTTAAAGTATATAGACCTCCTTTATACTAAAGACTAAGCGCTATCTTTATAGCGTGCCTCGAAGCGGGTTATTACCCGAAGAGGTACCGCTACGCTACCGTAATAATCCTTAAGAAGGAAGGCCGGCTACTGGCCGACGACGAGATAGTAAAGGGCTAATAACCGATATTACTCCTTAATATAATAGGTAAGGTCCTTAAGGGGATATTAGCCGATTATATCGCCGTTATAGCGGAGGAGTATCGGCTCCTCCTAGAAGGATAAATAGGTAACCGGACCGGGCGGAGCACGGAGATAGTAGTATAAAGAGACACGGAGGCTATAAGGGCGAGCTAAGCCTATAGCAGTACCGCTTCGATACTCTAATTAGATATTAAAGGCGCCTTTAATATTATCCCTTACTTCTATCTCCTTAAGATACTTAAAAGGAAGGGATTCCCCTAATAGCTTATTACCCTAATTAGTAGCTTCCTTTAAGACTATATAGCCTAGCTATTACTCGATAACGAAATAGCCCCCCTATAGTATCTCCGCGGGGGTATACCGTAAAGCTCCCTAATCTCCCCTATCCTTTTTATCCTATATATCTCTACCCTTTATAAGGAGCTAAAAAGGGTACCTAAAACGATAATAGTAGGATTCGCTAATAATACGAATATTATCGCCTTTAGTAGGATAAAGGTATAAACGTAGTAATATCTCGCCGCCGTGTAATATACTTACTTAGACTAAGAGATAGCGAGCGGATTATAATTCGAACTAGCTAAGTATATTTATATCCCTTTTATAAAGTCACGCTAACCCCCCTTTTCCCCGCTCCCCCTTAGCGCTACTTCGGTACCGGTAATAGAGGCGATAAGGCTCTTAGGCGTTTAGCTTAAGAAGAAACTCGATTTCCGGCGATACGCTAAAAAGGTAAAGAGCCGACTAACTATATAAGTATACGCCCTCTTAAGGCTTAGTGCAGTAGTATAAGGGTATAGCTTCGCGGACGTAAAACGACTATACCTTATAGTAGTAAGACTAGTAATAGCCTACTATGCCTTAACTATCTATAAGATAAGGGCCGGCCCCCGGTATAGCCCTATAGCGGTATTTATAGCGATATAAAACCGGTGCCTTAGATTAGTAGTCGGAGCCTATAAGGCTATGCCGGTTAGGGTCCTCGATAAAGAGACCTTTATCCCCCTCCTTAACCTATACCTCTTAAACCTAAGCGCCCGAAAGATCCTCCGGATATAAGAAGAAAGGAAAAGGACTAAAGATAAGATATTAGCCGGAGTATATACCGCGGTAAGAGCCTTAGCGATACCGAATCGGTATTATAGGACTAACGCCGCCCTCGCGTGAATAGTATAGCTTACCACCCTAATAACCTAGGCCGGAACCTCGCCCCCGCGGAAGGCCCTTATAAAGGAATAGGGTTAAGCCTAGACGGAAGTACAGCGGCCCTATATATACGCTATAGTGACACTAAGCCGCCCCTTAATATATTACTCCCTCCCGAAATATAGAGGGCTCCTTAAGCTATAAAGCTCCGTACTTACCTAGATTAGATTAGAAAAACTAGGCCTATAAGTATTCCTAGCTATAGTAAGGGTGCCGGGCTTCCTATTACTATAGTGCCTTTACGGGGACGGAGGAGCGGAAACGGCGGAGTATATAGTACTCTAATACTAGGAGGTAACCGAGGAGGATTATAAGGACCTTTTCGGTAGCGTAAGGAGACCACTTATAACTAGAGGGGATTTATACGATATACTAGAATATAATACTAAGGCCGGGGTAGTTATAAGGTGGTCCCTATAACTGAAGAGGCTTAAGGACTTTCGCCTTACCCTCGAAGTTATAGTGGCCTACGAATATAGCGATAGTACCGAAGTAAGACCGGAGCAGGGATAGAATAGTATAGCGAACTAGTTAATTATTAATAAGGGTCCTATAAGCCGGGACCCCGGCGGTATTAGCTTAGCACTAATAGGGCGCTACTAGTTAATACCGTCCTTATCGCCCTTAGTAGTGCTAAGACCACTCTTAATATACTTAAGGCCCTAAACGGGCTAATTAGCTAACTATTACCGCTAAGGGCCGTAATAGGGCCGAAAGGAGGCTACTTATAAGATACTTTAGAATTAGATCTATTTTACCCTCCTAACGCCTTATTAGGCGAACTAACTCCTATAACTCCGCCGGCGCGGTACCGCTATAGCTATAACCGGAAAGTAACGCCCTGTTTAGGGCCTGCCTAAAAGACCGGGACGTTATCCCTAGGTGCTCCTTAGCCTATAGCTTATTAGTAAGGAGACTATTACAGTACTATAGAGGGATACTTATAGTAGCGATACTATCGCTACTAGCGGCCTTTACCCCTATATACGCCTTATAAAGATCTATAAAACACTATTACTATTTTTTAATAACGGAGGGGACCTATTAAGATAATTAAAACACGCTACTACGGTATACCTATAACACTATAATAGTACCGGCACGACTTATATCCTTATATAGACGCCGGCTATTAGTATATTAAAAACAGGCTATACTAATTCCTATAGTATTAGAATAAGCCTTTATATCCTCTAAGTAAGTGCCTAAGCGCTTACTATAATATATATAACTGCCCTAAGCTAGCCACCACGGCACCGTATCGATACTACTAGGGCTTATATACGGTATAACCCGGATTAAGCCTTTCTTATAACGGTTACGATTATTATTATTATTGGCGTTATTACCTGGAGAAGATATCTACAATCATTAGCACGATACCGTAGAGGTACTACTACGCTACGAAGAAAACTTATATTAAACTACTACTATTAATTACTTATATATATATATATAGATTAATACTATACTATATAGTTAACCCTATACTACTACGCTACCGCGACGCTACTATCAGACACTTATAGTAAAATTTAAATAGGAATATAATAAGAAAACTAAAGGGGTTTACTAGTTAGTATAAGCCGTAACGATAAACTTATAGGACTATAAACGGGAATAGATTAGGAGGAAAACCTATAATAAACTTATTAGCGTTATAGAAGGAAAATGGAGGATTAAGGTATAAAGGCCTTAGGGGATATTAACTATCTAATTCTTATAATAGGGTAGGGCTATTTTCCCTTACTCACTACCGGATATAGTAAGAACCTACCTAGGGGAGGTAAAGGCGCCTACCTCCTTACTCTTTTTATTAACCGAACGGAAGGAATAAAAGACATAATCCTTAAGGGATATAGAGAGACCGAGGCTAAAAAGCTATAGCCGTTATATAGCGGAAGCACGGTAACGCCCCCTTAGTCCCCGTTCTACTGATAAAGATTAGCTTAGGCTAACTTACCTAACCACTAACCTACTATACTTCCTATTAGCTATTAGCCTAGAGATAAGATCCAGATATATAATAGGGAAAAACCGGGGCTATATCGGTCCCGTAGCGGTATTTCTTCACCTAAGGAAGTGTATAGAGGTTTTCCCCGGTTTTTCCCCTTTATAGCCACCCGAGAAGGACCGTATAGCCTAGGAAGGCTCCTATAGATTAGTTAGGATAGCGGAGTAAGATCGATAATAATAATAATAAACAAACTATATTATATTAGACTTATAGAGTACCTCGATCCTATATATCTATAGTTATTTCCCCTGCTTTTTCCTTATAGTTAGACATCCCTATAAAGTATCATAAACTTCACTTAGATAAATACATATATAATTCCGCGTACCTTATTATGTTCTGACAGCTATAAACAGCTTTAACTACCCACCCGTTTAGAAAGGTTAGGCTGTTAAGGGGGTGTGTCGCATAGACCTCCCTCTAGATGGAATAACCTAACGGGCATTCGGAATACACGGTCAGGCACGAAGATAGATATCCGTAGGAGTTCGGGCACTAATTTTGCCTCCTACAACCACACGTTTATAACACGTTTTTGACAGCGTTCTACGGCTTCAATACAATCAATTTAGAACCTCTTAATCTTACCGTTCGTATCGTATATTTACTCTATTACGGTTACGCTGTATTCGACAAGACATCTCCGTGAAGTACTGCGAACTTCACTTAGATAAATACACACACAATTCCGTACCTTTATTTGTGTTCGGACAGTAACCCTCAACTCACTGTGTCTTCATCCGATGTGCGGCCGATACTGCTTAGCCTTGGTGCGACGCCCCTCCATTCACCTAGAGTGCCGTGACCCTTCGGGACTAACATTTACCCAACACAGCGACCATCGCAGATCCGGCAGCATCTGGAAGACGATGATATGGTGGTGGACGACGGCCCCATAGACGAGGGCCCTGGTGCCCCGCGCCGAAGCTACAACTTCGCACCGGGGTACAATGGTGCCGTCTATCGAGCAGACACCCCTGCTCATAATGTGGCTGGTCTTCCGCACAATCGAATGGAGGATGTGACTGCGACTGAACCCTGGAAGCAAGGACAGGATATTGATGCATCTGCCCCAAGCGCAGAGACTTCCGATGAATCCAAAGGCGTCACGTATAAAATCCAGTCCATGCAATGGGGCATCATCCCAGCTAGGCCGAAGCGGCATCCGAAGTACAGCAAGACACTTAAACTCATTAACTGTCGAGATGACTCGTTGAGTAACCCCGGGGGGACATGGGGCTCCTTGAAGACCCGTCAGAGGTGCATCGTGATTGCTGAAGGCTTTTACGAATGGCTAAAGACAGGACATGACAAGATGCCCTACTTTGTAAGGCGCAAAGACCGACGCCTGATGTATTTCGCCGGTCTATGGGAGTGTTCGCAGCGAGACGGTTCATCTCACCACCATCGTTAAGTGTATTCTCGCCTGTGGTGGACTGACAAGAAAACACAGATTCCGACAAACAGCTCTTCACGTACACTATTATTACCACCGATTCCAATGATCAACTGAAATTCCTCCACGACCGCATGCCGGTTGTTTTGGAGGAGGGATCTAGGGAGATCCGAGCCTGGCTGGACCCTGCCCGACGTGAATGGTCAAGGGAGCTGCAAGCCTTGCTAAAGCCGTACACCCGGGATCTAGAATGCTATCCCGTTAGCAAGGAAGTCGGTAAAGTGGGCAACGATTCACCCTCATTTGTAGTACCTGTCGACAGCAAGGAGAACAGATCTAATATCGCCAATTTCTTCCCCAAACCTACGGAAGCAAAGGGCAAGTCAGAGCGGAGTTCCCACTTTCGAGCTGACGAGGCACAAGATGGTAACCAGGTTTCCCAAACGCAATGGAAATCAAATGCCTGTCTAAAGCAGGATAACTGGAGGGAATTGGATGAGGCCGATTTCGCGGACGACGCCGAGAATTGCGCCAGGGCAGGCACAAAACGGAGCAATACTGGTTTCGATACAGAGGACAGACGGCCGAAGCAGGCTGCTACCACGAACGAGACCCGGAACCACCAGCAGAGCTCGTCAGTGTCTGGGTACAACCTCCGTCAGTCCGATTCTCGCGACCGACAGCCAAACTCTCGTAAGCCTGGGGCTATGGTCCTACCCGAGAAAGACGCCCAGGGCAAGCCTGAAGGGCAGACAAGTAGAACCATCACTGATTATTTTGGCCGCCGGTCTTGATGGCGAGATTCGTTTCCCTCTTCCGGAACCTCTTCTAACACCAGCATTTGCTATCGGCAAGAGACTGAGACTGGTTTTGGCTGGGAGGGAGACGGATCTCTATTCCCCATTGCTTCACGGAACGAGGCGAGGAGGGCTCCCTACACAGCTAGTGATAATAATTTTGCCTTATACGCAGAATTCTACTTAATAGGCGGGTACAACAGCTCCGATAATAGAAGGGTTAGGATATTCCGACTATATCAACCGGAGAATCCGACGATAGTGCAGGTATTAACACCTGCTATAAATAATAACTAGGCCGGTAGCGCTAAACTAATCCTACGCCTATAACGCCTATAACGCCTAATTAATCCTATAGTCGTAATCCTTAATTAATCTCTTTTATGGTAAAGATCGTAAATAGCAAAAACGGCATTTTCGCCTTAATTAATTAACTACTCTACTACTATTATAGGTGTTACTATAACCGCTTAATCGCCCTATCTATACTAGACTGACTAGATATCCTATCGGAAGCGTTTAGTATACGATTCTCTGCCTATAGTATTCTCCTATAACCTCTTCTATATACTATTCCCGGTATTCCTCGTAGACGCCTGCGACTACGGCCACGGCCACGGCCACTTTACGGCTATAATTATTATTATTACTGTTTAAACCGATAAATAACCTCTGCCTGCCGTTAACGTACCTACTCTTCGTCTTACTCCTACTTAGATAGATCGCGAGCGCGCGATATAGTATTACTACGGCGTAGGTTATTACCTTATAGTATTAGGGTAACTAGGATATCTTCGGCTATAAGGCAAGGTCGGCCACGGCTAACTAAAATAATAAGGGGCTCTAACATACTATATAGCCTATCCTCTTATATAAGATCACGACTAAAGTGCTAATAGAGATAAAAGTGGAGGTAGTTAAAGGCACGCGGGAGTTATTCTTACTCTATCTCTAAGATATTATAGGCGTAAGGTATGCTAAATATTTATAATACTAAATAATTTCTAATATTAATACGCCGATATCTCTTATTATTATATCTAATAACCTGACTAAAGATTAGCTAGCGCGTATTATAGAGTGTATAGAGAGTTTACGCTAGGAGAATATAGCGTTACGGCTAGTATTAGGCTAGTAAGATACTATTAATAATAATAATAATAATAATACTCCCGTTAGAGTAGTTAACCAGGGTAATAGCCCCGTGATTACGCTATCATTAGATAGCGAGTACGCTCTTAGTAAGTATAAAGAGAATAATAATAATAGTTTTATCATAATTAACGATGATTCCTTTAAGGGGTTCTCCGAGGGGGAGGGTAGTAAGGTAGTTATAGTTAACCACGGGGAGGAAAAAGAGGATAAGGATAATATAAACCCGGATATAGTTAATAACGTTAACGAGGATAAGGATATAGCCGATACCTATAAAGGCGATAATAAGCTATAGGAGGATACTATATACACGGTTAAGGAGGATATAGAGGGCACCTACCCCCGCGCTCCCTATAACCGTTATACGTGGCACTTCCTCCGTCTTAAGCTAGACGGTAGGCGTGACTATACTATCTTTAGCGCCTATAAGGAGGCGTATACTATTAATTCGTATATATATAAGTATTACTAAGGTAATAGTTCTCGGGGTTATATAAAGGTAAGTGATTATAACCCCTTCCTAATAAGCCACTCTATAAATCGCTAATAGATTTCTAGATAACCCTTAAGGCTAAGTTACTAGGTAAGCGTATATAGCGTCGCCTGGACAAAGCTAATAACCGCGGCTATTACACCGATACGTAGCTTATAAGTGAATCTTACCCCCTAAAAGAGTATATCTTACTAACTTAGTAATAGGCCGAATTAAAGGAGCTATAGATTTTACTAGGTAAAGCTAAAAGCGGCTATTAGGCTTAAAACCGTTAAGGCTTTAATAAGGCTCCTATTATCCACCACGCCGCTAAAGAGGCGGTTTAAGATACTCGGTCTTATTAGGAGATTATGGAGAGTGCGCTGCTATATTTTATAGCTATAGGTTAACGTTTATATAAGTACCTACTTAATAAGCAGCCATAGTAAAAGGAGGGGCTAAGGGGCGGTTAATATATAGTCACCGAGTATTTATATTAGGGGGGGCTTTAGGCCTTAAAATTTCGCTTTTTAGTTTTTCTATTTAGTATAATAGTAAGTCCTTACAGGGTAATAATTAATTTTCCAGACCCTAATTTAGGAGGTCTACGAGTTCGGTATATAAATTCCTAAAGTTCCGATACGTAAGGTGTTTCCTAGACCTAGTATATTAGGGTTAAACTTATAAGGCGCTCTGAATATCTATCTAGGGAGTATATCGGGACCTCCTAGTATTATACTCGCGAAGGAGTAATTCCGGGATATTTCGCGTAGGTTCCTAAGTATTTTCCTTATAGCTATAGCCTTCCCACTTAATTAAGTATTAGCGGCGGTTTCTATTATAATAGTAGGCCAGGATATCCTTAACTTCGTACTTATCGGACTCCTAAGGTTTTACCTTAACTTTTTAGGGGACCTAGACGCTATCTATATAAGGACTTTATAGCTTTAGGAGGGAAATAGGAAAAATATTATAAATTTATATAGTTAACGGGCGCTTTAACTTATAGGCGAGGCTATAATTCCCTATAACTTCCTTAAGTTTATAGGGTCCTAGGTACTTATCTAAGAGCTTCTTACTAGGCCGCTTCTGCTTAATATTCTTAGCGGAGAGGAGGATATAATCACCTTTTTTAAACCTAGAGGTTGGTTTATCGGTATTATAGTACTTCGTATATATCTCCTAGGCCTTCTTAATAAGGTTTATAAGGGCTCTTCTATTTATTATTAGGTATTTAATATATTTATCGGCTAATATAGTGTAGACCTTATTAGCCTTAGGAAGCGTAATATCGTTGAGTCCTCGGGGAGTATAGCCTATAAGTGCTATAGCGGGGGACTACTAGATCGTAGAATACTACGCGGTATTATACGTGAACTAAGCTAATAAGAGCTAATCTCCCTAGTTATCCTGCTAATAAGTATAATAGGTCCATAGGTAGTGCTTTAGATTCTAATATTAGCGCTCCGTTTAACTATCGGTCTACGGATAAAACGCTATCGATAATCGCCTCTTAAGTCCTAAGCGCCTATATAGGGTAAACTACAATTTACTCGTGAATAAAGAACTATAGTTAGAAATAATACTATCTAGTAGGCCGAAGATAAAGAAGATACTTAACTATATAAGGTCCGCTAAGCCCTCGGTACTTAAACTAAAGCTATACGGGATATATAGGGTAAATCTCGTATATTAGTACACGACGATAAGAATAGCGTCCTTTTTCCTACCTCCGTGTATTATAAGCAGTAGGCCGGTAATAAAATCGACTAAGATTTCCTGGAATAGACGGCCCGGTATAAAGAGACTTTAAAGGCACCTATAGGGTTTATAATATCTAGGCTTAGTCCTCTAATACATAGGGTAAGTAGGGATGAAAGTCTTAACGTTGTATTTTATATATTCCTAAAAGAAGGTATCTATAATACGCCGAAGGGTCCTTATAATTCTATAGTATTTAGCTATAGGGTGGTCGTGGAAAGCCTATATGATTTATATCCCGGAGACCGGAGTATTTCGGAATAAAAAGCCTATCACGGAAAAAGACTAGGCCTTATTTATTATAGAATTACGAGTTAGTCGGGTTACCTTCCCGTAACGACTTATAAAAGGGGTCCTCTTATTAGGCTTCTATAATATTATCCTTAAGACTAGGTAATAACGGTACTATATCCATATAAGGGGTAGGGGTAGTATTCGGGGCAGTATAAATAGGCCTAACTGTAAACCTTTACGTGAATACTTCTACCGGCTTCTATCGCTCTATACGAAGGTCAAGACTTCCTGCTACGTATTAGGGCTTCCTTAAAAGGCTATCTATAGGGTTACTAAGACCCGGTCGGTATCGTATAATATAGTCGTAAACTGCTAATTCCTTAAGCTACTGGGCGTGCTAGGCCTTTACTTTAGGTTTTTCGAGAAGGTAGCGGTGATTTAAGTAGTCCGTTAATACCTTTATAGGGGTCTACGCGTAGGCGATATAGTATCTTTATTATCGAAAAGCTTCTATAATAGCTATAAGCTTTATATCCGGGGTAGAGTAGTTTAACTCGGGACTATATAGCTTCCTAAAGAAGAATACTATAGGTCTTTACTATCGGTCTACGTTAAGTTAACTAATAACTACGCTAATATGTCCGGCTTAATCCGGATTAGTAATATTATATTAAAATATCGAAGAACGGGCGCCTCCTAGAAATTTTAGTATAATAGGCGGAAAGTATCCCGCTCCCTAAAGGTTAATACAAAGACCCCTACTCTTCCCTTATCTTTTAATAGGTTAGTTAATAGTACTATAATCTTAGAGTAAGCCTTAATAAACCGGCGGTAAAAAGCCATAAATCCTAAAGAAACCTAGATCGTCTTAATCGTGTCTAGCTCTTCCTAATCCCGGATAGCTTTTACCCGGTTAGGGTCTATAAAGACACTATAAGGATTATAGATAAACCCCAGGAACTCTACCTCTTAAGTCTTAAAGAAATATTTCTTCAGATTAGTGTATAGGGACTATTCCCGTAACCGTTATAGAATACTCTATATATATTACCGATACGATACTATATCCGAGCTATAGATTAGGATATTATTTAGGTAGATAACGTAAATAGTATTTATAAGTCCTTATAAAGACTTATTAATATACCGTTATATGGAGGCAGGAGCGTTATAAAGACTAAAAGGTATTACTAGATACTTGTAATAACCGTACTTAGTTCGGAATACGGTCTTCTATTTATCGCCTTCTCGGATCCGTAACCGGTGGTAGGCGTCCTTAAGGTCTAACTTAGTCTAAATTATCGAATAGGATAGGCGGTCTAAAATTTTATAAATTAGCGGGAGTAGCGTGCGGTCCTTCTGAGTTACCCTACTA